ATATCCAGTATATACCGAATAATCACTTCCTCTTCTAACTCAGTCAACTTATGACAATTGGCTTGAGAATCTGGGCGGTAGGTTCGGCCAGCCATTCTGTCGGAAAGAGTCGTATATGGTACATTGTAGATCTTTGCCGCAGAGTGTTTGCTTAGTTTTTTGGACGACCGAATAGCCTCGATAGCTAGAGTAATTCGCGCTTCTTGAGTTTGAATTTCCATGGTAAATAGTTGAAGAAAACGTGTGTTGAAGTTTGAGGAGGTAGTGCCAAGGAAAAGTGATCGACTCGGTGATATGATCGACTCGCTGATAAACCACGTTATCAAAAATAAATATTTTAGTTATTATAATAGTTAAGTTAATCTAAGTTAATTCTCTATAATTCTATTTTCTCTGATTATTGGTATAATTAGTATTATCCCTTCGTACGGAATATATATAACGCTAAGGCTTAGTACTAACGTTAGGTCTCGAATACGTATAGCTTCTACTACTCCTACTACTACTACTACTCCTTCTTTCTTATATTCGATATACCTTACATAGGATAATGGAAAAACGATCCTTTAATATAGAATAATAAGGTTAAAAAGAGCGCTAGAAAGGTTATTAAAAGGCCTCTTGGATAACTAGTAATATTACTACTACGCTTATATCGCGATAAGCCTCTCGTACGCTCTACTAAAGTACTAGTTTAATACTTAGCACGTTCTAATTAGGTATCGCGGCGCTACGGCTCGCTTAAAGCCCTGTACTAAGCCTAGGCGCTATATATATTCCTTACGAAAGAATAATAATTATATAATTTAGAAGTTATTACTCTTTAATTATAACCTTTAAAGTATAACTAAGTACCTTATATTCTAAGTACTTATATGGGAATACTAAAACTATAAGAATACTAAAACCGAGAGTAGTAAAGCTTATATTTAACTAGAATAGTATTTAAAATATATAAGTTATTAATTATATAAGTTATAAGTTATATATCTTAAAATAATATTATTTAAAAAAAACTTAAATTGGTTATAAATCTCTTATTATTTTATACTAAAGTAGTACAATTAGACTAGGTTTTTATAGAAACTTTTAAACTTTTATTTATATATAGCTAGAATATATAAAAGAATACTAGTAGCTTTCTTTAAAATTTAAAATAAATTTTACATAGTAAAGTAGAATATTATTATAATTTAATAATTAAACTTTCTTTAATTCTAAGTACTAATTTATTTACTTGTTTTATAATACTTTAATATAAGGTCTAGGTACTTTTTAAATAAAAGTAAATATACTAAGAATTAACTAGTACTATTATATGTATAATTTAATAATATACTATATTATATAAATACTACTTCTATTAATTAAGAAAGAATTCAATATTTATATCTTTAAGATTAAGATAGTATAAGCTTTTTTCGAAACTTAGGGTTTTTCATAGTTCAGAAAAAAGTTCGTAGTTTATATAAATAGTATTATTACTTAATTTAACCTAGTAAAATAATATCTAAAGTATTTATATTAAACTAAGTCTCTTTACTTAATACTTTACTTTATAGCTTAATAAAACGTTAAAATAATCTTAGAAATAATTCCTAGTTTATTAAATATTTTAGTAAGTACCTTTATAAAGAATTTAAATAATATAATAACTAATTAATATTCGCTTATTTAAAACTTTTTAAGCCGAAAGATTATAGCTACCCTAGTCGGTAGATTTATAGACTATTATTAACTAGTTCTTATTAAGGGTAATAGAAAGAGAATAATATCTTTTAATAACTAGAAGGTTATATATAAATTCGATTTAAGTAAACCTTTATATTATTATATATATAGTAATTAATCGAAATACCCTCTAATTTGTTATAAATTACTAAAATGCCCCCTATATAATTAGATTTTAATAGAAATACCTCCTAGATCAATACCCCTCGAAAAGATCGAAAAAAAGAAGTAGTTTTATTACTACATTAGAAATAAGAGGTAGTTCTATTAGTATTACTTAGAAAAAGAGGTATTTCTATTTAAATACTAGAATTATAAGATTTTATTTCTTTATAGTTTTTATAAAGTATTATACTAAAAAGTAAATAAATAAAGTAAATTAGTTTATTCGTACTTACTTCCTACCTTATAGTTTACTTCTAGTAGATTTTAGAGGTAGTTAAGCCTAGTAGTTCTTACTCTTATATATACGCTTGTTATTAGCTCCTTATTTCTAAGTAATATTCTTAATTCCTTACCTTTAAGCCTTAATTATATTATTCTAGTTTTCTTATATATTATTAAAGCGGCTAGTAGCGCTAGCGTCCTCTTACTATACTAGTTATCAAAATTATACTATAGTACTAGATTATTCTCGCGAAGCCTCTTTAGATACTAGCTAGCTAGTATAGTAGTAAAAGTAGTAGTAGAAGTAGAAATAATAGTAGTAGTAGTAGTAGTAGTAGAGATGGGTTATTATTATATAAGGAAAATAGTATTAGCGGTATAGTATTATAGCTTTAATTTACTAGAAAATAAGTATAGTACTATATAGAAAAAGTAAATATTAACTAATAGAAACTACCTTACTTTCTAAGTAATAGTAATAGAACTACTTCTTTTTTTCGACCTTTTCGAGGGGTATTAATTTAGGGGGAATTTCTATTAAAATCTAATTATATAGAGGGTATTTTAGTAATTTATAATAAATTAGAAGGTATCTTAGTTAATTACTAATAATTATATTATATAGAAAATAGTTATATACTATAAGTTACTACCTTAGTAATACTTAATAAAACTTCTTTAGTATAAAAGTAATAGAATAGATTTAAGTACTAGAAAGAAGCTCGGCCTTATATATTTATTATAAGTCTTAGAACGCTTAGATACCTAATAAAAATTATTATAAAAGTAAGCTTATAAATATTTAACTTATACTAAATAGAGCCTTCTTAATTAGTTTATAATATATAAGAAGTCTAGGTATTTAAAGCTAGCTAGTAATACAAGATTTTAATAACAAGCCTCCTTTTATAACGTAACGAATAAACGATAAAATTCTATATATTCCACGGAATAAGAGGGGTCTAGAATAGAATCCTTCTAAGAGGGGCGGGGTGGGGGGGAGTCTGGAATAGAATAGAATTCTAGTTACGAAACGCTGAGTATAGTGTAGCCTATAAGAGGAGAGTAACCACTCGCTAAATATTCCGCTTTCTAGATACGAGGGAAACTGTGTAAGGATAGTAGTTAGTAGGATAAGTAGCACCCTCGTTAATTTGATAGACCCTCTCTCCCCTATAAGTTTGAACATTCTTCCTTCCTTGAATGGTATCCCACTCTTTATATGCATTTGAAAAGTCAAACTCCCTGATCGTCTAATCGAGCACCACACGTAAAGTTGTCATTGCTATACCCTGTGTAATACAACTTCTAGGACCTAATTCGAAAGGTCTGTAGGCACCTTCCATAGGATATAAATCATGATCCGGTCCGACGAGAAACCGCTCGGGAAGAAATTCCTAGTAATTTTTCTCCTCTTTGCATTTGTACATGGCTCATAAATACCACTGCATTATTGGTTGGGCAAATGTTGCCTATATCATCCACGAGGTCAACCCTTGCGGACCCTTGTCTACTACCACTCGCAGGAGGAAGTAGTCTCAGAGTCTCTTTGATGGCTGCATTGGTGTATGGGAGATCGTTGATAATATGTGGCTTCGACTAAAGCATGGAAGCCGAAGCAAGAAGGTCTTTTCCAAATACTATATCGTGCTCGTCCTAAACTTTTCTCAGGGCCTCCGGATTTTTAGAAAGAAGGTGAAAACAATAATAAATCGTACTATTTGTCGAGTTATGCCTCGTAAAGATAAATAGGCGAATCTGTGTGATTGTAAATGCTAAGAATTTCGGGTGTAGATACTTAGGTTTGGTGTTACTAAATTCTGACGTGTTTGCTTAGAGAACAAGATCAATGACTGCTTTGCTTCGTTTGTTGTCTGGGTCTGCTTTGTATTCGTTGAACCGTCGGTGGACTTCGGCCGAGACATATTTGTCCATCTTTCTTCCATTCCACCACTCTATAAAAAATCGGACAAACTGGAGGGAGCTCAATGGATTTATATCTGCTGCTGGTGCATGCCATCATCTGATTTGACTGATCATCGAGTCTGCGAGGGTATTGTAGCCTATTTGGGCATTCAACTCCGTATATTCCTAGTATGCAGTTTGTGAGTCTACAAAGAGTTAAATTTTCACATACAGTATCGTTTGTCCGATGATCCATTGCGAATCTTAATGTGATTATATCGAGAAAACATATTTCTCCCGACCTCGCATATCCCCTAAGTGTCCCAACATAAATCTGTGCTTGTTTTACGATTCCCGGTACAAGTGAGATAGAATGTTGAGTATTGAACCCCTTACTGAACAGTGCCCGTAGAGGTTTCTAATCCGCCTTAGGAAGGTTAAATAAATTCAATCCCCCAGCGATGGGTTTGAAGAATCGTGGAAGAAGATCGGGTTTCCTTGAAGCGATTCCTGTATTTGTTTGAGTGGCTATGATTGCTGTCTTGGGAGAAAAGACAGCGAGAAACATGGGACTTAGAGGCCATATGTCGAGATAGAATACTCCTGTATCTTGGAATGATTCTTGATAGATATCGCTGAACATGTACTGGAAATGAGCACCATTGGGGAGATTATCGCCATATTTCTTGAGGTAAAGGAGGTGTCCAAAGAGGAAACTATGCTCGGGTGCAACTGGCTGTTGATACGAGTTGATGAATGGACTTCTTGAAAACTGTGATTAGAACCTTACTCCTAGTGGGAGCAAAACACCTAAATCAGGTGCCCCCAAATCACCTGATTCAGGTGTTCCAATTTACCGTCCTACATAGTACGGGAACACCTGATGTATGTACAAAATGGCCAAAAACACCTGATTCAGGTGTTCCTATTTCGTTGTTTTAAATGCCCCTCTTACTCTATATTTCTCTATCTACTAATCCGCCCTCTCTCTACTTGTTACTTTGCGTAGAAGAAGGACAGACCGGCTAGTACAACTATTTCTGCGTCTATGTCCTTACCTACTTACTAAGAAGGGCGGGGGAGAGGGGGAAAGGGGGAAAATGTAGAAGGACCTATAGGTAGAGGAAGCGAGAGAAGGGGGACAGTACCTACGTAGTGAGGGATAGGAGGGAGAGACAGGAGGGAGGGACAGGAACAGGAATAGGAGGGAGGGACTTACACGATAGATAGATAGATATATATAGCCGGTACGTATAGTTACGTAATTTAGCTTAAAACGCTAGTAAAAGTGTCCTATTCTAGGTTCCCGATAGTCGGACCAAGCCCTGTAGCGCGCCTAGGTATTATTCCGACCGGCCCGACTAAGCACTAGGTACTACCTAGTACTAGCTAGGTACTAAGCTAGGTACTAAGCGAGGAAAGTTAAAAATTCTAAGAGAGTTCGAAGAGATAATTTTTAAAGAATAACTAAAACAAAATTATTTATAGCTAACGCTATAGTACTTAGAATACTATAATATATTAAGGGTACATATAGATAAGCATTCTTATTATAATTAAAGAGTTTAGTAGATTTATAATTTTTATTTTTTAAAGTTCTCGGAATACCTAATTTCGATAGGCGGGAACACCTAATCTAGGTAGTAGAACACCTAGATTAGGTGTTCCTATACTTCTACTAGGACTTACAAGGCCTCGTTTCTTTATTCGAACTATAACTATTCGAGTATAATATAGCTTAGTAGAAAAATACCTAAGATAAGTAATTATACGACTTTAATAGTCTCGGGACAATTATTTTATAACTTGAATAGCCTTTAGCCCTATGAACTCATATTAATCCCTACTTTTTACTTCGGGGTTAGCGAGAATTCTAAGAGTTAAGTTATTATTAGGGTTTATAGGGTTTTATAGTCTATCTTTTATAAAGGCTAACCTTTATAAGTTCTATAAAACCCTTAAAAATCTTAGATATGTCTACCTACGCTATAGTTATCGAATTAACGTCTAATAGACTTAACGTTATAAGTAAGTTTTAATAATAGAGATAATTCGTAAATAAAGGAGTAACTTCATTTATATTCCTACTTATTGAGAACGTGTTAGAACCTATAATCCTAGCGTAGTTATAGACTATAATATAATATATAATAGTTAATTCTAAAGAGTATTTATTAGGTTCCTAGGATCTAATTATATCTACTAATTTAGATTACCCTAGACTAGTTTTAATAGTACATTTCTAAAGCTTACGTATAAGTAAATCTTACTTCTAGTAGTAGAACGTAATAGTAATAATAAGACTTATATGAAGAGTTTTACTATAGTTAAAGGAGAAAGTAATAATACCTAGACCTATTTTATAAAACTCTATTATTATACTATTCTAGCTAGTATATAATAAGTCTTCGAATACCTTAAATTCTCTAGTTTTATCTATTATAAGTTTCTACTTTCGGTACCCTAGGGCTAGCGGTACTAGGTTCTTATAAGGCCTAAGTAAGTTTATATAAGTAATTAATATTAAGGTACTAGAGAATACTACTTATAAGACGTAACTTAGTTAGCTAGTTATATAAATTATTATTAGTATATCGCTAAGAATATCCGGAAGGATTATAGCTAGAAGCTAGTTAAGTACTTTTAGTAAATAGTTTATACTAAAACCTAGGAATAGTATTATAATATATTATATAAGATATTATAGGAATATAGTTAGGTATAAAGTTATACCTAAATAAATTAGGATATTATAATATTATAAATAAATTATATAATAGCTAGTCTACGATTACGTTTTAAAAATATCCTTTAATCGATAGATATAATCTTTTATTCCTAGACCCTAGTTCAGATACGTTATAAGTAGTACTATTAAGGGTAATAATAGTATTCTTAAGAAGAAACGCTTTCTTTCTACCCTAGCTTTCTATTAGTTTATATTTAAGTATACTATCATATAATAAGTAAACTAATAAATTAAGGCTAAAAAGATACTAAAATAAGAGCTCGAACTAACGCTATATACCTTAGAGTAACTCGATAAGTTAAGCTACTAGGTATATAAGAGTATTATAGCTCTAGTAGTAAATAACGAACTATTACTTATAGCTAGGGTTACTTAGCCTAGTATAGTAGCGTATTTATTTAGAAAGTACTATATTATTAACCTTATTTACTAGGAGTATACTTATAGTAGATTCTAGGATATACTTTTACCTTGTTCTTATATAATTATAGTAATCTACTAAGTCGATAAGAGTATTTAGAACTAGATCCTTCCAATATACCTAAATAGTAAAGGGTTTTATATATATACTAGGGTATAACTCTTTATTTTATATAAAGTAAGGATTTAGATATTAATCTATTAATTTTACCTCTTATACTTAAGAAACTACGCGCTCCTAGTAAGCTCTAAAAGGCTAGGAGAGAGCGTAGTATAGTAGTAGCTAAACGATTTATAGGTAGACCTAGGTATACTAATTATAGTATATAACCTAAACTAGAATAAAAAGGTTATAATTATTAAACTTATGTAAATCTCCCTATTTGTAAGCTAGATCTTATACTTAGAAAAGTAAATCGAAAGAACGCTTAGTAAGCTAAAAGAAGAGCTAGGAAAGGGGGGTATTATAGGAGTACCGGGGGGGGGTTTAGTAGTAGAGAATAAAGGGATAAGAAACCCTATTTTTAGTATAATTTTATAATAAACTATTATTTAATTCGTATAAAAACCCTATATAAATTATATAAGTAATAAAAATAGAATTTATAAATAGCTTCGATTATATAACTTTATAAACTTAATTCATTCTTCTAACTAATATAGTATAATTATATAACGTATCTAAAAAAAGTAGTACTATTCTATACTAAGAAAGCTAAGATTAAAGTATAGATAGCTTATAACTTAGTAGGCTATTAAAGTTATAAAGCAATCGACCGAAGGCTATTAAAGTCGTATAATTAAGATAAGTTACTACGGCTAGTATAAATCTAGTATACGCCGGGCTAAGGAAATAGGGTTCTATAATACTTTAAAAAAGAGCCTCGTTTTTAGAAATATTATAAAATTACTTTACAAGAATTAGTAATATCTAATATTAAAAATTCTGTGCTAAGTATATATATATATTAGAGGAAGGCGATAAAAGACGGCGAGAATCTAGAGTAGCTTTATAATTTATTTTATTAGCTCGTCGTTAGCTCGTTATTAGCTACGGTTGGTTCCCCGAAGTTATTTCGTTACTAGTAGAGCTCGGGGATCTACGGAATATAGAAGGGATATAGGTTAGTATATAGCGTACGAAGTTATAATTTAATAAGCTTTTAATTATATACTTTTAGAAGGGTTTCTAGTAATTTATTTATATTTCGAAATATACTTATTATATTCTTTTAATCTATTTCTATACTACTACTAAATATATTTATATTATATCGTTATTCCTTATTAGTTATTTTAATTAACGAAAAAGAAACTTAACCTTTCGACTCGATTAAGCTAACTTATCTTAGAGTAAGGAAATCCCGTTATTATTATAATACTTAAAAAAAACTAGAATAAAAAAGCTATTAACTAAACTAGTATATTCGTCTAGAATTTATTTCGCGGGGCTTTATAATACTAGGGTCTCTATAAGGTTATAGTATAAATACTTACTTTATTTAATATAAGTTTAGCTTACAATGTTAGTATTTAAAATAGCAAGGTATAAGTTATATATAAGAGAAATAAGGTTTATAGAATTAATTTATTTAAGGTTTTATAGTATTATAATTATTAGTTTAACTCTAAGTTACTAGAGCCGAAAAGATAATAAGAGAAGTATAATATAAGGCTAATAGTTTAGTATCGAATATATTATATTATAAAGACTATTAGTTATATATACCGAGTAAAAGTATTATAAGTACTACTACTATTATATAGTAGTACTTAGTACTAAGTACGATATATGAGTAGCCTTAAGTAGTATTTACTTATATTAATACTAGGCTAACTTTAAAAGATAAAGAAGGCTATACTTAGTAATATACGAACTAAATAACTAGCTATTCCTAATTCCTTAAATAATATAAAACAAAACCCTATTTTATATAAAAGAAACTCTATAATATCCTTCTAAAACCCCTATTTAATATCCTCCTTCCCTACTCTAATCTCTTTATATTTAACCTACTCCTATATATTAATCTTAATCTTATTAGATTCGATTGATTTAGTAAGTAACTAGTAAGATTTTAATTTAGTTATCGAATCCGCGGGATTAGAATCTCCTCGAATCTATATAATAGTATAGATCTCTTATCATTTATATACTTATCGAAGTACTATTATATTAATTATTAATTACTTCTCCTTAGTAGTACTAAGTTTAGTTAAATAATCGTAGATTAACTTAGAATTAGTGTAAATAGTAAGGTTAAGCTTACGACCTAAGATAGCGTCTAAAGTTGACTTGATAACTTCTACTATATTAAAACCTCTACTTAGAGCGTGTAGCTTAGAAGCTAGAATACTTCGTATAACTCGTCTATACTTTATAGAACTCTAGTATAGAAATATAGCGTTATTATCTGTTGGTACGACCTGGTTGTCGTAAAGAGTGATACACAAACATAATCTCTCTTTGTATTCATTCGTGTATGAAGAGTAAAGGTAAAGAGAGGTGGTACCCTAAAAGCTTAAGTATATGAGTGGCAAGCCACTCACATGACCTAAAGCATATAGATCCACCAGGCTCTCGTACAAGGTGCTATTCACCAGAATTATATACCGACATTATCTTTATTTACTAGGTATAAGATATATCTAATCTAGAAAGATAAATATTAGGGATAAAGTTAGGTGTAATATTTAGAATGTAAAGTAAGATACTATTTAAAGGAGTAGTAGTAGTGTCACGAATCACGTGTTTACGTGACGAATGAAGACCAGGCGGCGCCCTGACAGGTCGAGCACTATCCGAGTAGTTATAGCAAATAGGGATGCTTAGACTAGCTAAGCGATCCAAGGATTTCCTTTGGTTACAGTCACATGATATATGTTGCTAGACGGGACTAGTCTACCAGTCTAGCAGCGACCGAGCGACGAGTCTAGCAAGCTAGCACAAGAGAACGAAGGTTCTATATAAGACTGGCACGTCTGCCATTAGATAGGAGCTTCGTGCTCAACTTAGTTATCAACTTAGTTATCAATCTTATCATATTAGTTTGACATCTTTAATACAAGTAACGAGTTCACTTCCAAGTGAACAACCCGATAGTCTTCTTCTTATCATAGCATACCAACCAGCGAACACCCAGCCAAGTTTAGTCAGCCAGTTTGAGTATTCGTTACAGTTAAGTTAGAACTATCTTTTTATTATTATTATTAAAAGCCTTAATAACTAGTTTAGACTTCTTAAATATAATAGAAGTTCTCTTATTTTTAACAGTATTAATAAATCTAGAACTAAATATAGAAGTATCTTTTAGTAAGTTATTAAAGGAAATAATTCTATATAAGTTACTTTATTTTTTATTGATCTATTTATTTT